CAGGGGGGGAGTCCGCCCGCCCTAGCCGCGGACCCCGCACCCGCTGCGACCTGGGCCGGGCAGAGGCACTGCCCAGGGGGCCGAGCGATGGGAAGCAGGCCTGGGCAGAGCACAAACGGGGTGGGGAGGCACAAAGGGCCCCCAAGACGGCTGGATTCCTGCGAAGCCGGCCAGAGCACGGGTCCTTGACGTTCTGGGCCATAAAGCTCTTGACCATCAAGGACAGTACAGTCCCTCTGCGGGAAAGGCACCGCCCCCCGCCCCGCCCCAGCGTCCGGCGTCCTGGTCCCAGCGGCTCGGCCCTGTGACCGGCTGCCCGCTTGGACTATCAAGGCGCAGCGGCCTGGAAAGGTGGGGGCAGGGCCGCTGGACGCTGGCCCCGAGGGCCTCCCGGCTCAGGCTAAGTCACGTCTGTGGGCTCTCAAGAAAATTCCCCAGCAACTGGCTCACACCACGCTCTCTAGCTAATTCTCGCTCAGCCAAAGGTGACCTTAAGTAGCACCTTCTCCCCAGAAGGGACCAGAAGTGGAGGGGTGCACTTCACTTATCTCCCTGGGAGCCCGAGTCCACAGCAGGCCCGGGGCACGGCGAGCTGCAGCCCAGCCAGGACCTTGCCCGCCCCCGGGCACCTGCGGCCTCCCCCAGGAACCAGGTGCCGGCTGTCCTTCCCAGGTGCTCCCCTCCTGCCCTGCACTGGGCCCCTCCTGGGAACCGCCCCAGGTAGGAAGGTACACCGTGTCCTGGCCGCAAGAGAAACATCGTGTCCACGACAGCCTGTGCGTCCCACTGCCCCCGCCACAGAGCCGACACTGTCTACAACACAACAGCGGCCTGCCTGGGCCACCCTCTGCCTCCCCACCCTGAGCAGACGTCAAGCTTCCCTCCCTCCCCGGTGACCTGACGCCCACTGGGCCGGCGCCCTCCTCCGGCGGGGAGGGGGCCGGCAGCCACAAGCAGGCCTCCCCGCGTCAGGGCTCCGTGGCATGGACAGTGCAGCCCGTGCTGGGTCCTGTCCGCGCCGGCCCACCCTGGACTCCCGCTCCCAGGGGACGGGAGCGCAGGCCTCTGGGACAAGCATGCAGGCGGCCGGGACTGGTGCGCCTCAGACTGGGGTGGCCAGCGTGCCTGGCTGCGGAGGCCGGGCCGACCCACCTCCCGAGGCACACCCGCCCGACACCCCGCCGAGAGCGCGCCAGAGCCGCAGGGTGAGGACGGAGCACTAAGAGCGCTCGGCCTGGAGGCCCACGCCGCGGGCAGGCGGCCCCGTGGGCGGAGAACGAGGCCGCCTCCTGCCCGTGCGGCACGCACGCTTCACAGCGCCACAGAGCCACCCAGCGCGCGGGGCCTGCAAACCCAGGCCCGAGCTGGAGGAAGCCCGCCGCGGTCTGTCACCTCTGACCTGGACCGGGGTCAGGGTGCCCACAGCCCTCCACCTTGCAGCCTGTGCTGTACCCCGGCGTCTTCAGCCAGGAGGGGCCTGCACAGGCCAGCAGACGCAGGTGCAGGGGCAGATGGCTTCCAGGCTGGGCGGGGCCCCTCCGCCCCCCCCCCATGGGGAGCTCCTTGCCTGGGAGTTTATTTCCAAAGGGAAGGCTGAGCAAGAACCCCCAGAGTGCGCAAGGCCTGAGGACTCAGGGCGCCCGCCGGCCTCTGCACTCTGCTGGAGACGGGGAAGCCGCACGCTGCCCGCGAGGGGCCATCCCGCGTGGCCGGAACACCACGTCGGGGCCGGGGAGGGGCGATGCACCTGGCACTCCCCAGCTGGGCTCCTGTCCCAATGCCTAAGTGTGGCCCCCCATGGGCCTTTGGAAGAAGGGGGGGAGGGGTGAAAACGGGGCGAGGTGGCCACACCCCGCCTCCCCAGGGCAGGGTCGCTCCCAGTGTCCAGCCAGGGCCAGCAAGCCTGGGCAGCGCCTAGAGCACTGCCTGGTGCGGGGGCGGCGTCTGCGCTTCTGGCAGACACACAGCGCCGGGGGTCCCAGCTGGCCGGCAGTAGCTCCTGCAGGGCCTCCAGGTCTGTGTGGTGGCGGAAGGCGTCTCCTTCAGGGAGGATGACCCCTCCGGCCAGGCACCGAGCCCACCTGCCCGGCCTCCGCGCCCTTCCCCTGGCCACACACTCCCCTGCCGCCTCGCGCTCTGCCCTCGCGCCCCCACCTTCTGCTCAGGCCACACGGCGCCCACGAGCACCCGCAGGCCCACCCTCCCGCCTGCAGAACC